CCCATTGTATTGTTATAAAAGTTTCTATTAAACAAAACGAATCAAAATATAATTAAAAACTTTCAACGCGCTCAAATAAAAAATGGATATGGATACGCTAACTAAAAATGAGATAAAAGTAGAAACTCTAGAAAATTTTTTGGAAATGTCAAAAGGAGAGCTGCAGTTTTATCTCAAACAGCGTGGTTTTACAATTTCCGGCAATCATAGCTCTTTAGCTGCTACAGCTTTAATGGTATGTGAGCAAAAAATTAAAGTGGTACCAAGTACTGAAAATGCTTGCAATAAATTAAATAGTGACTACGCAAATCTACTGAAATCGTTTAAAATAAATTTCGACCCGTTGAAAGCAAATGATTTTGTAGACGATATGCGACAATGCCCTGTTACAAATATTGGACAAATATTTGCTTTTATCATCGAAAGCAAAGCATTTGAAACTGAATACATTGGTCAGTACAAACTTAAAAAAGCATATTCATACTTTGGAAGTGGTTTTGTTGGCAAGTTGTTTAGCAAAAAAATGAACGATTATATTATGATACGTTCATCGGTCTCTCCTTCTCAACATATACGAGAAAAATCCCATCAACTTTGGATTTTGTTTAATGTGGATGGCAGCATTTGCACCGCGTTTTGCACGTGTACCGCAGGACAAAGTAATTGTTGTAATCACGTTGCTGCGGTACTTTATAAAATAGAATATGCGAACACTAAAGACATAACGAACCCTATTTGTACTGATAATATTTGCAGCTGGAACGCTCCGTCCAAAGAAATTCAACCAAGTATGGTGAAAGATATGAACTTTGTTAAACATAAAAGTGGTAAATTGCAGAAAAATCTTTTGATTTACAAAGAAAAAAATGATTTTGATCCTAGACCAGTAGAAATGCGCGAAATTACGGAAGTTGAAAAAAAACAATTTTTATTAAATATCAAGGAAGTTCTTCCTAACGCCGCTCTAAATATAATGTTTACCCCTCCGCCAGATAATGATGTGCCACTTCCGATAACAGAAATTGCTTCAGCAGCACGTAGTTGTTTCCCAACGGAGCTAAGCTGTGTGACTGATAGATTTCTTGGTATGCTGACATTTAACGACAATCAACTTCAAGAATTAGAAAAAGCTACAAGAAATCAATCACACTCAAACCAATGGTGGGAACAACGCAGAGGAAGAATAACATCATCATGTTTCTATTCCATTCACCAAAAGGTTACATCTCTTCTGAGAAGCCATGATAAAGACGTTAAATGCAAAGTTGCGCCACTTCTTAAGGCTATTGTCGACCCTGTTGAATTAAAGAATGTTGCACCTCTAAATTGGGGTAAAGAAAACGAAAAAAATGCTGCTAAAATATTTATGTCAACTGAGGGCGTAAGACATCAAAATCCTAAGCTAATAACCTGTGGTTTATTTGTGCACAAACCGCACCCGTATCTTGGTGCTTCTCCGGACAACATATTTCAATGTCGTTGTTGCCTAAAATCTTGTGTAGAATACAAATGTCCTTTTAGTATTCGGGACGAAGATATAAGCGTTTCATGGAAAAAAACGGATTTTTTGGAAATGGTTGACGGGAAAGTAGTGCTTAAAAGAAATCACAAATATTACACCCAAATAATCGGCCAAATGGCAATCACTGGTTATAAATCCACGTACTTCGTAGTCTATACAAAAAAAGATGTTTTAGTAAATAAAATCACGTTCGATGAAGAACATTGGCAGAAAGTGCTTCCAAGCTTAATTCTGTTTTTTAAAACGTATGTGCAACGTTACCTACTTGGATTTATGCAACTGTATACATGCCCATTGTGCGATAAGCCATGCTTAAATGAAAATGAATTTAAAAATAAAGAAGATAACAGCATTGATTGTGACATTTGTGGTCTTTGGTTTCATTGGGATTGTTGTGGACTAGTTCAAAGAACTGTTTTAAAAGATAGATTTATTTGCATTTTTTGCCAATAACTGATAAATCACAACATTGATTTATAGACATTACAGATATTAAATGTATTAAATTAAGCATTAATTTCAGAAAATAATCTTTTTACTAATCATTTGTTTTAATTCATAAAAGTATTAAAGCGAAAAACTATTGACTCAAAAGATATTAAAAGGTTTATAATGACGTGTATTTACTGCTAAATTATTTAAATTTATTATAAAAAACAAGAAAAAATGAGGTCTATATTTAGTTTTAGTAGTGTATTTATATAAGAAATAAAAATTCAGAAACAATATAAAAAAAAGCAATATAGTAATGTACAAAAAAAAAATTGTATCTTTATATATATATATATATATATATATATATATATATATATATATATATATATATATATAAATATATATATATATATATATATATATATATATATATCAATTTAAAATGTATTCTACAAAAAGAGTGCTCAATGTTCTTAAAGGAACAGAGCAATTACAAATTAGTAGAAAATCATTATGCTAAGGGATTTTCTACTAATTTATATATACATATATACATATATACATATATACATATATACATATATATATATATATATATATATATATATATATATATATATATATATATATACATATATATATATATATACATATATATATATATATACATATATATATATATATATATATATACATATATATATATATATATATATATATATATATATATATATATATATATATATATATATATATATATATATATATATATATATATATATACATATATACATATATATATATATATATATATATATATATATATATATATATATATATATATATATATATATATGTATGTATATATATATATATATATATATATATATATATATATATATATATGTATATATATATATATATATACATATATATATATATATATATATATATATATATATATATATATATATATATGTGTGTGTATATATATATATATACATATATATATATATATATATATATATATATATATATATATATATATATATATATACATATACATATACATATATATATATATATATATATGTATGTATATATATATATATATACATACATATATATATATATATATATATACATATAGATATATATATATATATATATATATATATATATATATATATATATATATATATATATATATATATATATATATATATATATATATATATATATATATATGTATCTATGTATATATATATATATATTAAAACACACGCACACACACTAAATGTATATATATATAAATGACTTTTATCAATTTAACTAGAGATTCTGATGTTCAGTTTATACAGGCCTAGCTAATTCAAATGCATATATATATATATATATATATATATATATATATATATATATATATATATATATATATATATATATATATATATATGTATATATAAAGTAAATCTTATGCTTTGTTTTCATCAATGCAAAGGGGGGGCATGAAGTTTGTTAATACAGCGCATACAGTAATAATATTGTCACATAATGGTAACAGTGTGACTGGCAATTCATTTTTTAATATGCGAAAGTTTTTCATACGCCCTATGGCTTGTTCCACATAAATTCGAACATTTGCAATTTTTGAGGTTTCTCGCACATCATTAGATGTCATTTGCAAATTTGTGCGTTTTGATGGAGGAATAGCTAAATTGCACTGGTAAAAAGCTAGTAGTTCTTTTATTTTAAAACCTCTATCTGCTATAACTTGATCTCCAGGTTGTAAGAATTTTAAAATTCCACAATCTTTAACAATAAAAACATCGCTAGCTCTTCCGCCATAACAATTTGATAAAAAAGAAATTGCACCATTTGGTGTTATTCCAACCAAATATTTAACAGTATAATGATGTTTATAATTTGACCAACAACTTGCAGCAGTATCCAAACTTGATGGTGTTTCGATAAAAAGCTCACTACAATCAATTATTATTGAGCATTTTGGGTAGTATTTCCTGAACATTGTTGGTAAATTTCTCTTTATATTATTTCTGTCAGGAAAATGTATTAGCCATTTTAATTCAAGAGAAAGAAGTTTTATCCAAGTTATAAATACTGAACTCACTACAGAAATAGATATCATGAAACGATGAGCAAGATCTTCAGTTAAAAGACCTAAACGTAAACGCATCATCACAAGAAGAAACTCCTGTTGCAATGTTAGAGATTTTAATGTTATTGTTTTTAAATCCCTTGGCGAAGATAAGTTTTTATTTGTATTTTTACTACCTTTCCAATAGTGCATTACATTTCCTTTCCTTTGTAAGTAAGAAAACAACATTTCAAAGGCATTTGAATTTGCAAGGCCTGTAAAAAACTGAACATCAGAATCTCTGGTTAAATCGGCAAAAATTATTGATCGTCGTATTGGTTCATTACACTGAATAGATTTATCACAGTGTTTATTTTCTAAAGTTAAACTTGTTGATGAACTGTTTGCTTCTGATTCTAATATGACATCAAATCGTTCAAGTTTTCTTCGTTTTGTAGAAGATTCTTTTTCTGCATTACGAATATTCATGTATAAAGTTAGATTAGGAAAAGCAAAAGTAGGCTTTCCAAACTCAAAATGATTAGAGCAAACCACTTTATTATCAGAAACTGTAAAATTTATTAAACCTTTTTTAACTTGATTTACCCAATGCTGCCTTTTTAAAGAATCTTTAGGAAAGTAGTGAAATTTTAGCTCTGTTACTTGAGTTCTTTTAAATAACCTATCTGGATACCTGGAGTCGTTATTACAACCAGCAACACAGCAGCGGTAGTTTGGCATTTTAAATTTATATAATATAAATTTATAATGTATATATTTAATATATATTTAAATTTATATAAGTATAAAACACCAAATTAAAAATTTGAGTACTAGCAAATAAAAAATAAGTAGAAAATCTTCAGCTTTCCTTCACTAAATCAAACTACTTTGTTGTTTGTTTGCCCTGATTACCCAAGATGCATTTCGCAACCGCGAAAAGGTCTATTTGGATGATGTTGTCGACAGAGGGGTTGCAATAAAAGCTAATATTCTTTTGTGCAGTTGTAATTGTTGGTGTTTAGTGTGTATTAGTAAATCTTTAATAGATTTTAAGTTTGTATGTACTGATAGTGGTTTGTGAGGAAATATGTCCTGTAGTTGTAAGTTAGGGTCAATCATGTTCCAGTTGTTAAGAATGATGCTGTTGATTTGTTGTCCAACGGGAGTGTATGGAGTAACTATTGTTAGTCTTTCTGTATTTTCCAGCGCGCGCCTGTTGTTGACAAGTTCATGTTGCGTTTTATGAAGCGCTTTCTTAATGTTATTGTTGATGATGCGCAGAGGATAGTCTCTTAGTACTAGTGTCATAGTTAAGTATTTAAGATTATTTTGTAGGTTGTTAAGTTCTGTAATGATAGTGCAGTATCTGAGAGCTTGGCTGTATATGGTGCCCGGAATAGTGTGTGTGGGATGATGTGAGTCATAGTGAAGTAGTCCCATTGTGTCAGTTGGTTTTCGATTGATGGTCGTGTGAATGTTACCTTGTTCATTTTTGTACAGTAGTATGTCTAGAAAGTTTATGGATGTAGCTGAGTGGTTGAAAGTGAATTTGATTGTTGGATGGATGGTGTTCATGTAGTTGCAGATCTGATCTAACGCTGCTATGGGTCCTTGAAAAATGAAGAAAATGTCGTCGATGAATCTTCTGTAGAAAGTAATGTGGTTCGCAAATTGGTTAGTGATTTGTTCGTTAAGCCTTCCCATGAATAAATTCGCATAGCATGGCGCAACCCGTGTGCCCATTGATGTACCTGTCAGTTGATGGTAGTGTTTGTCACCAAAGGAGAAAGTACTGTTTGATAGTATTTCTTCTATTAGGTTGCCTATGATACCTGGTGATGGGCAGTCAGGTGGTCTATCTTGTAATGGTATGAGCCTCAAGTAATGTACTACTGCGTCTATGCCATCTCTGTGTGGGATGTTGGTGTAGAGTGATGTCACGTCAGCCGTCACAAAAATGAATTCTGAAGATTGAAGTCGCATATTTTGTAACATGTTGAGAAAGTATATACTGTCCTTAATGTAGGCTGGTAGTGATTCGACCAGTGGTTGTATGAATCTTGTCAGGTATTTTAGTAGGTTGTCCGTAGGTCCGCTGCATGCGCTGACTATTGGTCGTAATGGAATGTTAGGTTTATGAATTTTTGGAAGTCCGTAAAATAGTGATGGTCTACATGGTTTGCGGGGAAGAAGGAACTCTGCAGTCTGTTCGTTAATTTTATGAAGTTTAAGCATGTAGTTTGACATGTAAGTAATTCCTCTCACAATCTTATTCGCTTGGTCAGTCTGGAGCTCTCTGTATACTGTTCTGTCCATTAGTAGTTCATTCACTTTCTCTTCGTATGTTGTTTTGTTCATGATGCAGAGCCCTCCCCCTTTGTCAGTTTTTTTGATAATAATGTCTCGGTTGTTTTGTAGGTTTTTCAGTGCTTGACATACCTCTGGTTTCAAGTTGTTTCTTTTTCTCGGTGTCTCTCTGTTCCACATCTCTTCTAGATCTCTGTCTATCTTGCCGAAGTATTCGAGTATGTTTTCATTCTCTGTTTCTGGAGGTACCCAGCTGGATTTCTTGTAGAATACGGATCTCTTCTGCTCCTTTCTATCCTTGAAGAACATCTTAAGTCGTAGTTTTCTTTTGAATTTCTCCACACTAGCCCCGTATACTTCTCTTCCTACTTTTTGTGAGTTGGGTATAAACTTCAGTCCTTTTCAAATTGCTTCCTTTTCTTCATTTGTAAGTACGTGGTCAGATATGTTTGTTATCATTTTGTCAGTCAGAGCTGTTAGCATTCTTACCTTTTCGCTGTCCACCCATCGTTTAAAGTCCTTGTCATGTCTGAAGTTTTCGCCCGGTGGAAAAACGGTTCTCATGCTGAATGGACCAATTGCTCTTTTCTCATTTGATGGAGTGAATTTTCGTTCGTTGTCCTAAAGGTAAGTAAAAGCGTGTATCATTTTTGTATTGCATGTATTTTACTGTTTTTTTACTATATATAAGTGGTATGGCAATTATTGGTATGTAGTTGTCCTTTGTTTTGTGAGTGCCCAAACAGTGGTATTTTAATATGAGTAAAATTGTGAATAATAGTTATTAATTACATATGGATGCTTATACAAGATTATTGAAGATGTTGGCCGGGAGAGAAATGTATATGCATAAAGCACTGATTGTTGATAAATACAGTAGTGTGTTATATGCTTTGCAACGCGTGTTGTGTAATCCTGTGATGAGTGGCATTATAAATAAGGAGTAATTAGTAAATAAATGAGTCAGTATTAGTATATTTTGATATTTACATATTTAAATAAGCATATAAATCGTCTAAAAAATTACAGGTTCGTCTTATATTATTTCGTTAAGTGTATTGTTTATAAAGATTCATTTCCGCTCTTCGTCTTTCAGATAATGTCAAAAATAGTGTCACGGTTTCGTTTCTGGTAAGGGAGAGGTTGTAGGTTGAGGTATCTCATTTGATTGAAGTGAATGTCGAAGTAGTACCATTTGCTGTTGTGTGATTCTAAGTTTTTTGTAATCCATTTGATTTGATAAATTCGTTTATTACATTTAGATGGGTCTCTTTTGAACCCTAAGATGAGAAATGTGAATAGAACGAATAGCGAGCAACCATTACCTAGGAAAAATATTGTCAGTTTAAAGGTTTCCAGGTCTGAGGTGACATAGTTGCAGAATATAATTTGGATATCGAGTGGCCAGTTGGTCATCGGATAGAAGCAATCTCCATTCATTATCTTGAACATCTTCTTGCGTTCCAGGTTGATTCGAGGGCTTGCAATGCCTGTAGTGTGTTCTAAAGCCTTCTGTAGGTGTCTCTCTACAAACAACGATTCATATAATATGTTAAGTATATTTGCAGTCTTTGAGCATTTAGGCAACAGTGAATGGGGGATGGGCATTTTAAAGAAATGAGTGTATTATGAAAAGATATTTATTAGGTGCTATTTTTTATGAGTGTTTGTATGTGGTGACGGACATAGTATAATTAAATAAAGCGTAGTAAGTCTGTTAGATTAAATAAGAATAAATCAGGATTATGAGAATGGAAACAGAATAGACTATTATGAGGAATATATAATTGATTCATGATAACACGGTGTTATTATAACAACAGTAACATATAAATGAGTTTTTGAGACAATACATTATAAGAACATATTTTAAAACACTAGTGGTCAATTTTGGTGGTCAAATAGTGAAGATAAGTGGTAACCATTAATTATTGTGTCACTAAACTGTCGTTAGTATTACGTGTAAAGTTGATGTATAGCCTTGAAACAAAAATCAAGTCATTAATTGTTGTGCTATTAAATTGTGTCCAGCGTAAATGTGATTTGTAGTTGAGCCCAAATAAGATTTGTAGATAGAATTGATAATGGAGTAGAATTATTCGTTTTATAAGTAGTCACCATGTGGTTTGTATTCTTAGGGTGATAAACAATCATTATAGATGTAAGTGTCATGAACGTCTCGAGTATAGTACGAATTCGTGCCCTATGGTGCAGTGTGAACGCATAAAGACCTCCAGCTTTCATCCGAAACTGGTATCCCAAAAGAAGTTCCACTTTGGGTCTACACCAGGGTATCTTTTTAAAGGTATTTCATAGTGTTATCCTAAAAGGACTATTCTCAGAGTATCCAGTCAGGAAGACTGCCACAGACTCCTAATTTCCTGATTTTTTCCGTTATACTTATTAATGCATAGCAAGTAGAATGCTTTGATCGAAAACCAAATTGAAAATCATTTAAACAATTAAATGAGTTTAGAAAAGAGTACACTCTAGAATACATAAGTTTTTCAAGAAGCTTACTAATGTTAGATTAAACAGAATTAGGTCTGTAGTTAGTCCATAAAAAGTTTAGAGCCATTTTTTAATATTGGAATAACGCAAGATAATTTCAAAATATCAGGAAATTTTCCATTTATAAATCAGGTATTAAATAGTTTAGAAAGAATATTTGAAAAATCGTAGTTAAAATCTATTAGAATATTTGTAAGAATGCTGTCTGGACATAATGATGTTTTTGGATTTAATTTAGATATAAGAGATGAAGTTTCACAAATATTTGTTGGAGATAATAATAAACTATGTAGATTTGGATGTGTAAGATATTTTTGGTAGTTAATGTAAGATGAATGAATATAGGATCTGTGTTTATGAACAACATTTGTAAAAAAAGTGTTAAATGATTCAGAGATTAAAGTCGGGTCAGTTATATATGTTTAATTTTCTTGCAAACAGTTGGGAGATGATTTATTCTAATTTTGTACATTAATTAGAGTGTTAATACCTTTCCAAAGTTCGCGAAGATTTTTTACATTTTTGAAGAAAACTTTTTGAAATGGTTTTTTTTACTAAGTTTAATTATTGTAACTATTATATGTTTATATCTTTTAAAAATACTTTCAAATTTTTTTTTAATAATAAGATCTTAGATCTTAACATTTTTTTTTTGCGTACTTGAATAGATTTTATAATTCCTTTCGTAATCCATGGTTTGAATCAACATTTGAAGTTTTTTATACTGATTTGTTTAAGTGGGGCGTAACGATCTAAAATCAATGTTGTTTCAGTAATAAACGTTTGGAAACATGTGTTAGAATCATTGGGCTTTGTAATATCGTCCCAGTCAATTTTTGATGAATCAGATATAAAGTTTTGTTTATTAAAGTTTTTAAAGCTCCTGCTATATAAATTGTGTCTACGTGGTATAAATAATTTATTGAAATTGGGACAAATACAAAATTGAGGTAAATGATCAGAAACAGAAGTTGTCAAATTTCCTGAAACAATTTCATTAGCTATTAAACTAGCGAAAATATTATTAATAATTGTAGCAGAGTAATCAGTAATTCTTGTCGACAAAGTAATAAAAGGGCGAATATTATAAAGAGAAAATAAGTTTAAAAAATCAGATTTTGCAATGTCATTATTTGATTGCATCAGATCAACATTATAATCGCTAAGTAAGAAAACAGATTTATTTTCAGCAGATACTTTTTGAAGTAAGACAGACATGATATTATTAAAAATAATAATATCCATGCAAGGGTGTCTATAAATGCAACCAACAATAATATTAGACTTTTTAGAAAAAATAGTTTCAACAAATGTGGATTCTAAACAATTAGGTGTCTAAATCATTAAATCATCTCTTCGTTTGTTTATTAGTTTTTTCGATAAATATAATAATGTATCGCCACAAGAGGATTCCTTTAGTGTCTGCTCAATGTTGTAATTATCAATGAGAATCTGATGAATTGAAGATGTTTCTTTTTTTTTAACCTTGTTTCAGTTATACCAATAATGGAAAAATCAAAATTAATGAATGATTTTATTGTGGTTAAATCCTCAAAGTGTTTAAATCCTCAAAGTGTAACGATGTTATGCTGAGATGAAAAATAGAGAGAGCGCGTATTTTATTAAAATTAAGTGTACATAATTCGCTTATGTCATAATATTTACAAAATACGTCTAATGAAGAAGAAAATTTTTTCTCAAAATCTAAAACACGAGATGAAACATAATTATTAATTTGATTAGAGACTTTATTTAAATTAAAAGACCGGAAAAGGTTTGTAGACAGAGGTAAATCATCAGTTTTAGGAATTATATCAGAAGAAATTAGCAATTTAAATTCATTATCTTGTACATCTGTGAATGGAAAGACACTTTTATTACAGTTTAAACAACTCCGCAACGAGCGACTTAATTGTAGTAAACTGTACTTAGTATCATTAAGCCTGTTTTTTTTTGGTATTGTTAAGTCATATTTTGTACGAGACCAAAATAAACAAATATTACATTGAGATGAGCGGCAACTTTGACTAATTAATTTTTAACACAAATGACAGTTTAAAGCCATAGTGGAACCGCAATATTAGAGAGAATGTAAGAAACAATAAGTAGGGAGTAAATAGCTATGTTACTAAAAATTGTTAAAATAAAATAATGCGTATGAATAGATAATTAAGAACAACCAATTAAAATATCGAAAAACTAACAATTATAATAAATAATATTAATGTAGTTAAGCAATAACGCAATAGCCAAACAAACAGTAAACTATAACAAAAACCAAAATTTTAAAGAAAATTATAAAATCAGACTAAAAGAGTAAAAAAACTTATTAAAGTTGAGTGAAATAAATTGAAAAATATAATGGCAATAATAAAAATAAATATTAAATATTATATATCAAAATAAGTAACCTAATAATAAATTGTAGTAATATAAATAAAAATAATAGTGTTATATTTAAAATAAGATAAAAAATAATAGATATAAATAAAAACTATAAAAGCTATCTACTCTTTTAAGAAACTGATCTCCTCTTCTGATTTTTTTTTTTTTATTTTTTTGTCATTAAAAAAAAGAATACAATACCGTGTTGTATAAATAAAAGCTACATGACCGGGGCTAAAAGAAGACAATATTTGCCTTATCACTACACTTTCATCAGTAAACGTGTGTAACCATTAAAGTGTAAACATAAAACATAAAATTACTTTGTACCATTTAAAAATTATATACAAATATATACAAATATGTTAAGATCAGTTACTAATCTATAATCAAAAGAAAATCGTAAAAAAAAAAAAAAAAAAAAAAAAAAAAGCAATCACACCTAAAAACTGAAGATAAGTTAATAGGATAATTTAAAGAAAATTTAAGTTGGTTAGACTAGTTAATAAAATAGTTGTTAAAAAAGAAGATAAAAGAATCTTAAAAAGAATTTAATTCATTAACATCGTTAAGATGTTTTTGTTTGAGTTTTTGTTTAAATAGAGAAAGTGAAGAACAATTTTTCAGCTGGTTGTTTAAGAAAGTGTTCCATAATTTAGGACCTCTGATAGCAATAGAAAATTTAGTAGAAAAATAGTGTATTTTAGGTTGCTCGTAATTGTAAT